TGAATTTTTATTTTAATTATTAAATAACAAACTTTTGTTATCCTTGTATTGTACATAATATTAAAAAATACGAATTTATTCATATTTACAAATAAACGCTAATGAGTCAAGATGTATTGAATATTTCTAAAATTTTGTTCAAAATACCTATACATTGCATTTGTGTACATATACATTGACTAATCGAAGACATCATGGCATATGTCTTTAATACAAAGTTCGAAAATTACATGCATGCTCAATACGTGCATTTGTTAAATGCATTTCGTTGCATTTAAGTGTATTGAATTGTACTATAGATTCGAATTCTTCGATAAGTCATGCGTGAAGTGAATGCAATTTTCATTCATGTATCCGTGACACGACGAAAGCGACATTGCGTATGTATAGAGGGGTCACGGGACGGGGAATGCAACTCATAGGGTATCCCAGTAATTCATTCCTACATATGATTGCAAAAAATATTTAATTTCATTACATAACAAACCATGTGTATTATTGTTTTTAGCGATATTAATTAATAAAATCAGTCTTGAATATATAAAATTACATAATTATTGAAAAATATAGTTTCTTGGACTATTAGTTTTATTACAAGTAACGAAATTTGACAAACTAAATATGTTGAAGAAATTTTTTCATTTACTAATTTCATCTGTTACAATGCTTTCTGAATTTGTATTGTAGTTAAATATTAATTCAATAAATTTATTTAAACTTTCGTCTAATCTGTAAAAAATATTGCTCTAATTGCAAGTAACATCATAGTCATGTAATTTATTTGTTTTTTTAGAGACAAAATAAAATTTTTAACAAATTATTGGAATAATGCGAAGATTTAGAACACCCTATATACACATTAACTGAATAGCTGCCGGGGTGGAGAGAAAAGGGAGAAGGGGCGAAGGTCAAACCGTAGACTCCACAGCGTGTAGAGGGAGGAGACCGCGAGAAAGCATCTTCCCATGAATGAACGAATCAACGAACAAACGAATGACGGTACATTTATGGGAACAACGATATCAACCATTATTAACTATACCAGCTACAGGGGAAATGATAATGGAATTTCCTCTTTTAAATAGCACTTTAGTTGCAGTGAAATCTACGTGATTTATTTAGAACCATTGCATCATTCAAACTCTATTCCACGTTTAAAACAAATCTTAGAATATGAAAAGCTGAATTCTATTACTGCATTTACGAAATATGTCTGTCAATAGTATTTAAATACAAGTACCTATTGATTATTTATTGCACTTTTTTCTGCTAACAAAAACAAATAAAACTAAATATAACAAAAAAATACTAAAAAAAAATGTATCTAAAAATTACAATGTACACAATCTTAAATGTTCTATCTTGTTATAGACTTTAATTCTGGGCAACTTTGATCATAAACGTCAATAATGCGTGGAAATAATTAATAATAATAGGAAATATTTTGCTTTATGGTTTACTTCACTGTATAGGGTGCAGAAAGTATCGAGTTGATTGTAGTCAATTAGACAATTGCTAAAGAATTTAACATTGAAAAGAACTAACTACTGTCAAAGTCGTCAATTCAATATACTCATGTCACTCAAACGTTCAAATTTTTCCTTACTTGCTGAATGTTCACTTGACAATGAAAACTAGGTTTCTTGCACTTGTTTCACAGTCACCACACAAGAATCATGTCGATCGCAAAAAATTTCACATATAATCACATTCATACCAACAATCAGAATGACTGCTGCCGGTTTTTCTGGATATGCATAGAATATAATTTTCCTAACGTGAAGAGCCATTTCGTCGGTATAGTCCATGTAAACGAGAAATGAAGCAGAAGTGGTACAATAATAACGACGGAAAACGTAAAAGAAAGGAAAAGAAAGACCCAGAAAGAGAAGGCAATGGTGAAAGGGATTAAAAAGAACAAAGTAAAAAGTAAATAAAGGAAGAGAGTAAGAAAGAATGAGAGAAAGCACCGGAAGAGGGTAGGTGTGAAAGAGAGGGGGCAGTCACAGAGAGGGAAGACGAATGGGATAAGAAAGGAAAGCTAAACAGATTTGTAGTTCGAGTCACAGATGGGATGTACCTGTTCCTCGAAACGTGTGATCAGCCAATTCGTTAGCCATTCTTCTGGCTTTTGCGTGCCCATCGCCGTCCGAGGTTCAGTGACGAGCCGTCATCACGTACGACGATTCACCAATTCGCTACGAGCATTCGACATCGGTACGTCGCCATTTACAAACGTCGACTGGCAGCCGAGAGAGCGCCGTAGCCGCTCGCTCTTTCTCTCCCGTAGGGGAGGGGCGTCATGACAGAGCCCTCAAGAATTACAGCGGGGTCTGGGACGAAGATCTTCGCAAATGGAACCGATGCCAACCGAAGCTACCCGATATTCACCTCTAGCTGACCAATTGCGTCGGACTACTTAGGGATGTATGAAAAAGTTTAAACACCCTTGAAAAACAATGTACTTATAGACCAGCAAATGTAAACGAGAAAAACGTTTTTACGATTGAAGATTGTTTAAAATATAACTAAATTGTAGTTTATATGTAAAAA